AAGCCCCCCCCCCCGCGTTGCGATGCTTGGTTCGCCACACGCGTGGTTTGCTTGGTCCTAACATATATGTACTTATTTTTGACAACTAGCGTTTCTTGGCAGCAGTTGTTTCACGCCACCACAGCATACTGTGTGCTCTCAATTGCAATCGCGATGCGGAGAGCAGAAAGCGCCACGTTCAAGAGTGTTTTAAGCTTCAGGCTCAAGGCGACCACCTGCTCAGCTCATTCGCGAGTTCTTGCGCGCTGTCTCCTCTCTTTTGTTTTTTCATTCATAGTCGGAACCACCGCTCGAAGCGTTCAACTACGCATCCCAACCCCATCCCCCATACGCGTGCACCTTCCCGTTCGTTACGCTGCCGCTTCCATCACGAATGACACAGAAGGATGAAGGGCGCCCTTGGCGTGCCCCTTCGGTTGTTCCGGGAGGCTGATGGGGGTCAGCAGCGACTCAGAGATCATACAGGCAGTCTACCGGAGGTGGAAGAGCTTGTTCTGTCTGCGTTTTAACCTTGACTCCATTTTTCGACCCAGGTTGAGCATGTGAGACCAATTACTTGATGATACCTGCTGGGAACATCCTTGGGAACTTTTGAGAACATGTTGCAACACTTGACGGTTCGTGACTTGGACGTGTTTCTGGAAATCGTTGTTTCTCGAGGAGTCACGAGCCGTTGTGAATAGACACATTCGATGTAAAGATCGTTGGAATTGACGTTGGAAAGAGATCTAGCCTCTCTCATGATATGCGGGCGTTGGGGCAACACATGGTGATTGATATGGACTTGTCCGCGATGCCGAACTTGGGGTCACTCCGTGCAGTTATTGGGCGATGTTCTTCCTCGAATAAGATGCGGGGGGGTTGTTGCGGGGAGCCTTATGTAGCAGGTTGGCCATTGGCGTTTGAGATGATTTTACAACCGAATAGACTAGTGCAATTTAGTTGTGGTGTGATGCGAATCGATGGTGTGTACAGACCTACAACAGTCTGGAGAGTTGTTGCAGTCACGCGCATAAGCTAACGTGTCGGACGCTGCGTGGTGTTCTGGCCTTGAAAGAGTAGCCTTGTGGAGAACACGTGGGCCTGTTGAGCTGTTTTGGTATGACTACGACGTTTACACCAATTCTTTTTTGATGCCCCGGGTCACACGAACAGCCTGCGTAAATTTGAACCCCCACAAGGCAGCGAACAAGAAAGTAGAACCTCCTCTCTAACTGAACAGTTCAGTCTACCCTGTCTGCCAGTTACCCCGAAGCGCAATGTTGTCACCGCGACAGACAGGAGCATGGGTTCGCCCTCAAAGAGTACTCGTTTCAATCTACCGCTAAGCAGTTGTAACTGAGAAATGTAGAAGGATCGACAAACAGAGAGACAGCGTTGGGGAGGACATGCGATTATTTGCGTCTTGAGCCACGAGGGACATCTCTATCTTCCCTGGTAGTGATGACCTTCGAAGAAGGAAGGTGCTTGTGTCATTGCGGCGGTCGTCGTCGTCGATCGGAGCTGGTCCCTATACTCGCTTATCAACACCCCCGGAGGAACGAGGCCGAGGGCGGCCAGTCGGTGGTACTCCCGCTCCTCCTGCCTTCGCTGAATGGCCAACGCCACTCGTTCAAATCTGGCAACAGGAGCGAGCGTGAACACGGGGTAGTGTGTGCGACGGTAAATCAGCACAACTTTCCTGGGACGCTTAGCCCTCACGGAACGATCCCCCACTCTGGTGATCTTCCTTTTTTGAACCCTCGCGACTTGTATCCTCCGTGCGGAAACCAACAAAGGATATAAAGGTTGGTGTAGGGTAGGGCCCAAGGTCATAGGCTATGTACAATGTAACAATGTGTTAGAACCCTCAAGTTCCTAACTCCAACTTCTACTTGGTGGTGTAGCCGCGTTCTGTAGACTCGGAACTGAGCGTGTTTTGGAGGCCAACCTACTCTAGTTCTACTCCAAACATTTCAATGGGGGCGGGATTATGGCGAATGAAAATGCGCTCGTAAACTCGTGCAAGCAGGTTCTCAGGATGTCCAGTGTTGTAACAACGGCACAGGTGGAAAACAACATTCCTATCGTTACGACACAGACCGTACGTGCGTGATTTCTTACGTTGTGTACCAGTATGGTAGAATAAGTTGACAGGCAATAGCCTTTATGAAAGTTGCAAAGGCGGACAGGTAGATAGTCTTTGCGCGTAAGTTACAATGGTCGCCGGCAACTATCCCGAAGTTTACTCCCTATCTGCCACCGTCCACTTCAAGTAGTTTCACCCAATCAATTCTGTCAGAAAGCACGATTCTTGGGCACCAGCAACTGGGAATGCAACAATGATCATGAATGGCTACCAGAGCACAAGCCAGGCGGCGCGTTGCCCGGCGCTGCTGACGTGTAGCCTTTTTCTGCCGGTTCGTCTGACCTTTGGCTAAGGACCAATATCTCAGCGTGCTGTTCGACGACCCGCACGTGCTCCTTCGCCGCTCTACGCTTTTCGCACGCTCGGGTATCCTTCTTAGAACTTGAGACCCCTGCGGTTGCCGCCGCTGGTTCTGCCGCCGAACCCCCTGTCGGAAACGCTCCCGCTGTTTTCACCAGATTTCGTATCTTGATAGCCTGTTCCGTGCAGATGCCCATCCTTTCGATCACCAGGGGCCTTTGGAGTACGTCCATCCGTCAGGCCGTGAGGATGAATCGGGTGGGCGTGTCCTTGTTTGTGATTCTTGCCGTTCTCATGTGGTGTTCCGCAGCTTGGCAAACTAACGAGGGCAGCTCCGCGGTAAAATGAGCGCTTGCATGTTCTTGTCAACATTTGGAAAGAGAGTGATGAGGGGTCACCACTTCTGGAAGCTCAACAGCCAACCTGAAAGACAAAGATATTGTCGACGGTGCACCACTCACCACCTCGTAAGCATGCCATCTACAGCCTCTCTGGCTCTGGCCACCCGCCCGATCTGTTGCTTGGTCTGTCTTCCGGGATGGGAGGACTTATTCAACACCGCCACGTCGACGTCGTGCCCTCGTACAGCGCCCTCGATGCTCAGCTCTCGGTTGGCGTGAGCCGTCTGCGTTGTGATCCAAGCCGCGAGGGACAGTAAAACGCCACAGAGCAGTAGAAAGCAGGTCGGCGGTGTATGTACGTTTAAGGCATGATACACTGATTGCTTACATCGACAAGCTTACGTACATCGAGCTTACGGTTGTTGTTGTTGTTGTTGTTGTTGTTGTTGATGTTGTTGTTGTTGTTGTTGTTTCTCACATTTGCTCTATAGTCCACAAAAAATGGGGAGCGCGTGGCCTCAAAACCCGGCACATACGACGCCGCGGGGAATCAAAACAAAAATAGGGTACAACCACTCGGAAAAAGAAAAAAAAATGATAGAAAGAAAACAACAGGTATCGCACCGACCGTTCGAGAAAAGAGCCCTCGGAAACTGACCAAAATAAAACAAAAACAAAAATAAAGGAGGACGCTTCCCACACCGGCCTTAAGAAAAATCAAAGGGTAACGTACCAGCACCAAGCACTACGCACCAGGGCATGGGAGTAACGGAGCAAGCAGGACAAAGAGGCGGCAGACGGGCAGACAGCCAGACGTACAAAAACAAAGGCAACAGCAAAAGCGAGATCAAGATACCCAACACAGCAGAGTAGGCAAGGAGGTCATGAAAAAAAGAAACACAGCACAGAGGCCGAAGGCAATACAAAGGACATACATAAAGGAGAATAGCATACAGCAGGGAGGGAAAAAGGGCGCAACAACATCAGCCGGGTACATAGTTCGCCACAAGTGCTGCCTCGGCCGCCCTACTCGCTTCTACAGCAGTGCCCGGTCGCCGTTTCTTCCCCCACACCGCCGCTTCCCCGACTGTCTTTCTCTTCGGTCCTGAGATGGCCCTACTCTCTGCTTCTGCTTCTCTCGCGCGCTGGCGCTTCGCGGACGCTTCCGCCTCCTGCCTGTGCCATTTCCTCATGAGCCATGCCGCCCCGTCCTCGACCTTGTTGCACCACACCTCCGGGTCCTTGGCGCTCCCTTTCCAGTTANGCAACAACATCAGCCGGGTACATAGTTCGCCACAAGTGCTGCCTCGGCCGCCCTACTCGCTTCTACAGCAGTGCCCGGTCGCCGTTTCTTCCCCCACACCGCCGCTTCCCCGACTGTCTTTCTCTTCGGTCCTGAGATGGCCCTACTCTCTGCTTCTGCTTCTCTCGCGCGCTGGCGCTTCGCGGACGCTTCCGCCTCCTGCCTGTGCCATTTCCTCATGAGCCATGCCGCCCCGTCCTCGACCTTGTTGCACCACACCTCCGGGTCCTTGGCGCTCCCTTTCCAGTTACCCCCTTCCGTTTCGTCTCCCATGTTGAAGGCCACGAGGTCCTCTCCTAGACGAGACACCCAGTCGCTTTCTTGCCCGCCCCGGTATCCACGCCCCCCGTCATCGCTCTTAACAGCATGCGCTTGGGGAGGCGGTTGTCTTCCATGCGCAGAACAAAGCCCGCGAAACACAGTCTCCGTTTGCGAACAGAGTGGCCTCGATGGTTTCCTCGCAACCTGCCTGGATGAGGGCCTGGGCATAGGACAGGGGGCGGTCTGAGCGTTTC